AAGTGCCAACACTGAGTATCACCAAGACAAGAACTACCAGGGAATTTCGCCTTTGTCAAGTTTGTTTTTTTTTCTACCTTTCTCAGTCACATTTTGGGGGGCTGTGCTTTGTGTACACCATATAGTCTACAAAAGGGAATGCTCACTTAAAATATTGGGACAATTTGGAAATAATATAACCAACAAGCAGCAACAAGGAATTAGTTACATTATGAAAGGAAAGGAAATAGGTAATGAGAGTATGAATCACTGCCTTGTCTTTTACAGACAGGGTAAAATATATCATTTATGTCTGATATATAAAGTAAAAGGGCTTTACTTAAATAATCAAGGGACACAAGAAGTAAGCAAGATATTAAAGCTATCTAAAGTGGGTATTGGTACACGTTTGAAGACATGAATTGGTGTGAATATACATTGTACACAACCAGAGATATGAAAAATTGTGCTCTGTATGTGTAATAAGAACTGTAATGCATTCCACTGTCACATATAAATAAAAAAATAATTTACCAGATTATATTGTTATGTTGTGTGCATGTGTAAATATGTAACATCGAATCCCACTTTTATGTGTATGCACCAATAAAAATTTTAAAAATATATAAAAAAATAAAGTGGGTATTGCAGAAGGAGTAAGGGAGGTCAACATTTACTAATTTTTATAATGGAGACAATAAATACTATCTGAATAAATAGAGAAGTTAGTTTTTATTAGCAAGTTAACCACTAGAAGAACTAAAACATAAAATTTTGAGATAATCAGAAAAATCAAATATGTAACAAAGTAGGTGGCCCAGAAAATATAATGAACTATTTTTGAAAAACATATAAAAACAGAAAGCATGATACAAAATATGATGGTAATTAAGATCAAACATTCCTGTTATTTCAATAGATGATAATGTGGCTACCTTCAATTATACAACAGAAAACATCTGATTGGCTTATTTAAGAAATTCAGTTGAATAAAGATTTGTATAAATCAAAATGTCTATAAAGGCTAAAAGTAAAAACAATGTGCAAAGACAAGATCAGATTCTTCATGTGAGTTAAATTTGAATTCTAGGAAGAACATTAGATGATACAAAGAAGTGGGCTTAATAAACTATGGGCATAATAAACTATGAGGGTCTAACAGTTACAAATATCCCAAAACTAAATGGTATAGAATCAACATGCAGCCAGGCGGGGTGGCACATGCCTGTAATCCCAGCAGCTCAGGAGGCTGAGGCAGGAGGATCGAGAGTTCTAAGCCAGCCTTCAGCAAAAGTGAGGTGCTAAGCAACACAGTGAGACCCTGTCTCTTAAAAAAAAAAATAGGACTGGGGATGTGGCTCAGGAGTGTCCCTGAGTTCACTCTCTGGTACTCCTCTCCCCCAAAAATAAAATTTTGTGAAGCAAAAATTACAGTGCATAGAGAAAATAATAGAAACACCTGTCAGCCCATGATAGCTCAAATTTTTTAAAATGATATATAAAATACCTAAATATCATAATTAAGAAGGTGGATAGATGCCTGGTTTTCCTTTAACATTACCCTGCAAATAGGAAATAAATCTACCTCTGATGATCCATGAATACTTGCAAAAGTTAACTATATAGCAGGTGATGTATAAATTTCAAAATAAGATCCAAACAATGGAAAAATTCTTTCATCAAAATTCGATAAACAAAAATTAATTACAAAGTTCTTAAACAAAGAAACATCCACTGAAGAATTATAAACAAGGAAACAAAACTTTATCTGAAGCAACTGCTGGCTAGAAGAGATCAAAACCCAAATTACAGAATATTTAGTAAAGAACAATAGTGAACATGCTGCATATCAGGACCTATGAAATTCCTGATAATAAAAAAAAGAAAAACTCCTAGTTTCATGTTTTCTAAATAAGCAATAATGAAAGTAAATGAATTGAGCATCCAATTCAGAATTAGAAAAAGCACAAAACAGATTCAAGCAGAAGGAATGGATTAATAAAAATGAAACAGTGATTACAGCAGTATTAAATAAAAAGGAAACAATAAAGCAATTATGTAATTTTGTAGAGAAAGAAGGGGGAAAACCTAACAATCACAGACACAGAAGGAATTAAGAATTGAAAGAGAGGTTTGTGAAATATAAAAATATACAGCAATACAAAGGAAATGAGCCTCAAGCTTTTACAAGATGTATTTGCCAGGAGGTAAACATACTTTTTTAAAAAGTCAATATTTCATCAAAAAGCATCCTGAAGCAATGGCTTGGATTTCATAAATTATGGATATAAAACTGAAGATGTAATGCCCTCTTTAGTAAAGTATGTAAGGTCTGGTCCATGTGCACTGAGGCTATGCCCTTATTTTGAAATATAACTCGACTTTTTAAAAAGACTCTACAGACCCATTGAGATTTCCCATTTGAACTGTCCAATTTAAAATCTATTGTTAAGAGCTGAGGCAACATTTCTCCTATATGGGTTACTTGCTATGGCTTATGGCATCAAAGTTAAAATATTAAGTCAATAAAAATAATTTACTGACTTATAATTACTAAACATAGTTCCAATCCAGTGAGTTAACATTAGATTCCCAACAGGCAAAAGAGTTCAATATGGTTAGTTTTGCATTGCCTCTAACATATTTTTATTCAACTTGAGTTTATGTGTATATGTATGCAAACAAGGTTTCCTTTATAGGAAGAAAATGTTCACATATTTAAGTCATTCACTCATAATTGAAAAGAGGAAATCACTTCGATCCATCAAACTTAAAATGATTAGCTATGATCTACCCTTTGGTCATGGACTGAATGGGAGTTTTATTACAAAAGTCATATGGAAGTAAGCATATGGCCAAGGGAATGGGTATTTGAAGAAAGTTCTGTCACTGCTATTAGAAAAAATAGCCCAAAATAAAAAATGGCTCAAAATAAGCCTTAAATGAAGGATGAATTTGCTGTCCTGCTTTTACACACAAGTGGGCCACACCTGGAAAGTTCTAGCTCCCCTCTCTGCATACTCACCCTTGAATTCCCTTTGAGAACTATCCTGGGAGACCAGGCATTGACTTTGCAATGGGAAATGACCCTATTCAGAAGAAGGCACTTGCTGGTGTATCCATGTAACAGCTTGTGGGTTCACGTGAGTGTGCACATGTGGTAGACAAGCCCCCAGGGACAGAGTGAAAGAAACTGAGCGCTTAAGGTTGGAAGGCTCTTAGAAAACTGGTTCAAATTTACCCAGAACCCCTTATGCCCCTCAATAAACAAACTGCAAGACCATAAGGAATTAGAGGGGTGACTTTATTATTCCCAGGCCTCAAATTCATTGGAATAAAAACTCCAATAAAAGGTTTTGGGATGCCGGGTGCAGTGGTGCACATCTGTAATCCCAGTGACTCAGAAGGCTGAGGCATGAGGATGGCAAATTCAAAGCCAGCCCCAGCAATTAAGTGAGGCCCTAAAGCAAATTAGCGAGACTATATCTCAAAATAAAATATTAAAAAGGGCTGGGTATGTAGCTCAATGGTTAAGCACCCCCAGATTCAATCTAGTATACAAAAAAAAAAAAAAGGCTTTCTGGTTTGTACATGCTGTTGACACTAGTCCCACTTTATCACTAAAATGTACAGCTTCAGAAGGAACAAAATACACAGAGATACATTCTACAATTTCTTCCCTCAAATGAGAATAATAAGATTATGAAAAATCACAAGAGTAATTTGCTCCAAAAACCTTTTGTAATCAGTGTGCTATGATTTGGATGTGTCCCCCTCAAATTTTCATATATTGAAAACTTAATCCCTAAAGTCACATATTACTAGTATTTGAAAATGAAGACTTGGGAGGTAATTAGGATTAGATAAAGTCATCAGGGTGTCCCCCCATACAGTACTAGTGGCATACAGTATTAGTGGCTTTGTAAGAAGAGAAAGACCTGAGCTCACAGATTTGTTCCCTGGTGCATTCCATCATGTTATGATGAAGCAGGAAGGCTCTGACCAGATGCACACCATAGTCTTGGACTTCCAACTTTCAGAACCATAATCTAAATAAATAGCTGTTCATTATAAATTACCCAGTCTCAGGCCTTTGTTATTGTAACAGAAAATGGACTAAGACATAGTAAAGAGCCTATCCCTTATCAGTTTTAAGGGACAAAGGTAAGACTGGTGCTAATAAGTAGCATTTTATGGAATTCTAGATACCTCCAAATCCATGTCCTATACCTCCCTTCTTCAATTAAGAAAAATTAATTGAATTAACTTTATTAACTTGAATTAACTGTAACTTAGGTCACACCATTGACATGTTACATTTTGAACCTCAGGCCTTAATATCTTCAGCAGATGTCTGAACACAATTCTTTTGGAGACCAGGTTAGGTATACATGCCTGAGACTGAAAAGACTTTGGTCTTGGTAATGTGCATGATTTTCCTTTCTATTTCTCTGATCTAAATATGTATTTTTAAATTTGTTTGAAAGCAATGTATACTCATTAAAGATTGTCTATTCTTGTAGATAACACAACTCTGGATCTTAAGATGTGGTTAAGTTTAAATATAATTGGAAAAACAGTGTCTAATGATTTCCTTACCCTGATTTGCCACACTTCGTTTTGGAATTTAATACCCTGGGTGTTTCTACCCAACCAATTGTAACAGAGACATGAGTTAAAGATTAACAACTTAATCCCATAGGTCTATGCCAAAATAAATACCATTTTTTCAATCCATTAGAAAATAAAGGGGAGGGGTCCTCAAATGACATAGAAAATGCTTTTCCTTCTAAACAAAAATGTATAAGATAGAGATACATTTTATAATGTCCTAAGAATCAGAATTTGGCTAAGATTCAAACATGATATATCCAGGAAGGAGGGATCAAAGCTGTGAAACCCATGGCCCCACCTGAAGAAAATAACTAATGTTAAGAGTCCCAATCATAGTGGTTCCAAACATGAATTTCCTAAAATACCCAGTGATGACAGCCCTGATGACCAGCACAGCAACAAGGTACCTGTCTGAAGAACTCCTCCAGCAGTGACATGGTCCAGCGGTGATGCAGGTCCCACGCTTTTGCAGGATGGCTAATGTCTGCCGTGTGCAGCATCAGGGATAAGGCTTTGGGCTTCTCAATTCTGAAAAGCAAAGTGGCCACACTCAACGACCACACATCTATCCTCAGAAGGATTTTAAAAATCACTGAGGGTTTAAATCTCTTCCATTCTCCCATCTCAAATGCAACCTCAGCTAAATGAAGGAAAGAGGCATTATTTCGCCCAGTGATGGGGTACACATCACCTTGGTCTCCCTGTTTATTGAACTGGATGCTTCTGACTCAATCCCATTCATGGAATGGCTGCATCATTCAAGAAGAAAAGGATCCAAGAATCACAGGCTTTTTCTTCCTGTCTCTGTCTTAAGTGGATCTTTGATCATTTAATTGCTCACAAGGGACTATTTTAAATTCTAAGTGGTTACTGGTCCTATGGTTTGTTTCAACTCTGATGAGAATATGCCTAATTGTGAGATATGTATAATTTTCATGCACCCTCCTCCAAACACCCCCACTTTATGAGAGCACCCAATCAGGTTATGTGAAGGAGATGTGCTTTTACAGTACAACAGGAACAAGGAAGCCCCAGTTCAAACACCTAGGAAAACACTATGTCACCAGCCCACTTACGCTTCTGGCTGCTGCAGAGCTGTTTTCATTGCTTTGATTTGCTGGAAATGGCAAGACATATCCGTGGCCATCACCATCTCAATGACCAAGGTTCGAAACTCCCTTTCAGGGGCACCCATAGAGAAAAAAGGATAGAAGCGGGGGGGAGAAAAAAAGTGAAAAAGAAAAATTAATTTATTTTTTGATGCTTCTAATCAAAATCAATTAATCCTTTCTGACATTTCTAATCTAATTAGATTCTTTTCAGCGGGTTTTTATGAGGAATAAATGAAGGTTAAAGATTAAGGAAATATAGGAAAGGTAGCAGAATACCAAAAAAAAAAAAGATTAAGGAAATCATTTATTAGGAATATGATTCATGAAATACACAAATCATTTGGAAAAGTAACTCACAGGAAAAACCCAATGAAGCTGAAAATTATATTAAAGTGCTCATTTCTCAACTCAATTCAAAGTTTTGAGGATGAATTAACTTGAAAATGATTCTAGGAGCTAGACTGATAATCCATATTATATTTCAGGTAAAGGGATTCTACCTTTTTTAAAAATAGACTTTAGTTTTTAGAGTAGTTTCAGGTTCACAGATAAATTGAGCAGCTTGGATAGAGAGTTCCATATACCTCCTCTTCCCTGCACAGTTTCCCTTAGTATTAACATCTTTCATTAATGTGGTGCATTTATTACAACTGAGAACCAATATTGACATATTACCTAAAGTACATACACGAGGGGTTCATCCACCACATTGCCCAGTTCTACAGTTTTCAACATAACGTAAGGTTATGTGTTCATCCTTACAGTATCATACAGAATAATTTCAGCATTCTAAATTTTCTCATGCTCCCCCTAGTTCCTCCTTCTTCCTTCCCCTGAACCCCAGTAAAATACTCATCATTTTACTGTCTCTAACAACTTTGTTGCTTTGTTGAGTTATAATTTACATAGAATAAACTGCTTCTGTATAAATTGCATAACTCAGTGAGCACTAACCATTTAATATACATAACACACACACACACACACACACACACACACACACTAAAATGTACTCTTTTGTTTTGGGCTTCCTTTCCTCAGCACAATAGTTTGCCATTCATCCATGCAGTGGTTCATCAACAGTTCCTTTCCATTTATTGCTGAGTGGATATTCCAGGTTATTCCACAAGTGAGAAGTTCTATTTCCCAATGGATGGGCAATTTGGGTAATTAGATTTTTGTTGAGGGCTATTGGAAATAAGGATGGTACAAGTATTCACAGACAAGTTATTGGTGTGAACATATGCTTTCATTTCTTTGGGGCCAGTAGGCAGGCAGAAGTACAATGGTTGTTGTTTTAGGTAGCCATTTTTTTCCTATTATGAGAAACTGTCAAACATTTTTCAAAATAGTTGAATCACTTTGCATATTGACCACCAGTGAAAGAAAGTTCCAGCTTTTCTTTGACTACTTCTGTCAGTCTCTAATTTCCATTATTCTAATGGACGTGTACTGGTGTCTCAGTTTATAGATAGGCAGGAAGGATTCTATTTTACTCAAGGGAGGGTCAGCCTTGTTATCTTTTCTAGCTCTCAATAATTGAATGAGGTCCACCCATATTAGGAAGGGCAATCTGAGTCTACTCTTTCACACATTAATCACATTTAAAAACACACACACACAGAAACATTCCAAATCATGTTTGATCCAATATCCAGCACACAGTAATCCAGTCATATTGACATAAAATTAGTCATCACACACTGATGCATTATCATTATATATATAATTACATTAATTTCGTTATTGTTTAATAAAGATTGTTGTTACCTATGTTTACAAGATATATTGGTCTTTAATATTAAAGTAATGATGTTTTGGGCAGGGTATAGGTATGGTGTCAAAATTAAACCTCATAAAACACAAGGAGAATATTTTTTCCTTCTTTGTTTTCTAGGTAAATTGGTGTAAGGTTGATGTCATGATATGTGGAATGTCCACCCAAAAGCCCATTACTGAACCCATGGTCCCCAATTCAGTAAGGTTTAGTAGTGGGGCTTTAGGTCAATGGTTGAATCATGAGGGCTATGACCTCATGGTAGTTCATTTGATGGATTCATCCATGGAGAGCTGAATGGACTACAGGGAGGTAGGACATAGTTGGAGGAATTAGGTCAGTGGGTACGTGCCCTGGAAGGGTTTATCTTCTCTTCAACCTCATCTTTTCCCCACCCCCCCTCTCTCTGCTTCCCCACTGAGCTGAGCAGCTTCCCTCCACCATGCCCTCCACCATGATGTTTTGCCTCATCTCATGAGCCCAGGAAAACTTTTCCTCCTCTAAGTTTAAGTTGGGTAGTCTGGTCACATGACAAAACATAGAGCTGATGAACAAGTTGCGGTTATTTCTTCTTTGTGCATTTAATGGAATTGCCAGTGAAACCATCCAAGGATGAGATTTCTTTGTGGGAAGGGTTTTTTTTAAATGACAAATTCAATTATCTTAAGGGATATAGGAATATTCAGATTTTATGTTTCTTCTTTTTAATGGAATTTGTCTATTTCATCAAGGTTATCAAAGTTATTGAAATAAAACTGTAATATTTTCTTATGTATTTGGTGTCTATAGAATCTGATGGGTAATGTATGTTCTCTATCTTTGGTATTGTTCAGTATGATCAGAGACATCAATTTTTTTTTTCTCTTTTCAAAGTATTAGCATTTAACTTTAATTTTTGCCATTGTTTTCTGTTTTTCTTATTTCTTCACTTATCATTGCTAATTCACTTTCTTCTATCTACTTTGCATTTACTTTTCTTTTTCTATTTCCTTGAAGTCATTTTGATCAGATCTTTCTCCTTTCCTAAAATGAGCATTTAAAGCTATAAATTTCCTCTAAGCACTGCCTTAATGGGATTCCACAAATTTTTAATATGCTGCCATTTTCATTCTCATTAAATTTGAAATATTTTCTAATTTTCCCTGTGATTACTTTTTGGACCCATGAATTATTTAGAAGTGTATTGTTTAATTTTCAACTATGTGAGATTTTCCCAGATACTTTTAATGATTTCTAATTTACATCCATAGTGACCAAAGATTATAGAAATACATGTTCCTCTTGTCTCTCCTACTAATTTTTATATTTTATATTTTGGAGATCTGTAGTTATGTGATATTTATTATGATTGATATGTTATTCATGATGAATTAACTCTTTCATTGTCAGAAAACTTTCTCTTTCCTTGTCAATACTCCTTATCTTGCAGTTCATTTTACCTGATATTAATATCATCAATTTACCTTCTTATACTTACTGTTGGTATATTTATATCATTGCTTTCATCTTATTTGTATCTTTATATCTGAAGCATATCTCTTATAGATGGAATGTAGTTATATGTGTGTGTGTTTGTGTATGTGTGTGTGTGTGTGTGTGTGTGTGTGAGGTGTGAGTGTATGATATCAAGGTGTTATCTTCACTTGAGATTTCCTACAAAGTTACAAAAAGAGCAAATTTACCTTGTCTTGTCACATTCTCCAAATTTTGACATCCATTCAAAAGTTGCCTGATTTTGTTCTCCCTAAATCCCTCAAGTCATGGAGTCATATAAAAACTTTTTTTTCAGGGTTTCTAGATGTTATTTGCATGCATATCAGTTCATTAACAGCTTATTTGGCCTGCCAAAAGTAGAATTCCATGTTATTCCAATTTGAAACGAAATAAATATCTGGTAATACATTTGCTTGTAAAGGTTCTAAAAAGTCTGATAGAACCTACCAACTATTAAAATTTCTTTCTGAGAAAGACATAGAATGGTAAAATATGTTGTCTTTGGGTCAATTCATTAGCTGAGCGCTCTAATTATTAAATTAGTATTTCATTTATGAGATAATACCACACTGTATCTAAAAACTAATAAAATATGATAAAATAACAAAATAATATTTCAAGCTGTCCTTAAATGAAGATAGAATACTTAATCATGTAATTTAAAGTCATAAGCTATAATTTTTGTTTTAGGTAAATCCCAAGAAACAGCTGTAGAAACAAAACATGGTATAACAGTTTATAACTATCAGAAGTTTCCACCAGTAACTGAGACATTCCATAATGATAATACTTAAATTCACTCTATGAGACAACATAGCAGTGAATAAGAAAATAGGTATGGAAGGCGAGTATATAAATAGATTTCAATCAACTGTACTTTTAAGAGACTAGTCTGTTCATGTTTTACACTAATTCTACCTATGTAGTATGTATTTACATGATTTTATAACTTGCTTTGTTTAGAGTAAATACTCAGGTCATTCACAACTGGTACTTCACAAATATCCACCAATAAGAATGCAGAGATAAGCAAGGATGATTGGGTTGGTGTGCAGCAATGTGCCTGGTGTGAACTGATGCATTCTGGTTTATGCTGGGTGAAGCAGTGTCTACACGAGACTCACTGAGTGAGTGAATGAAGCTCATGGTCACAGTGGAATGGAAAGACAAACAATGCTGCTAAACTTGGAGAACTATAGCTAAAGAAAGGTAGAAAATCCAAAACAAAGATGGAAAAAGTGACATAGCTATGTTTTAAAAGTATGTTAGAGGCATTAACGCAAATTGTGCAAGCTTTGGGGCAATTTGTTAGTTTGTCACTTGGCCAGGAATATCTACTACCTAAACAGGCCCTCATGCAATACTTTAAAACTCAGATGCCTCTGAATCTGTGCGAAGCTGTTCTCTGTCACAGTGAACCTTGAAAGGATGGAGAAGTTGTGTCTCTAAGTTTAAAAATGCCTTGATCCATATTTATACCTACAATGAGTTGTGGGTTTGTTCTATATCTGCCACAATGTGTGCAAAGCCTTTAAAATGGATGATATCATTTATTATAACCCTAACCACATTGTAGAGAAAATGTTATTATCTATTTTCTGGAAGAGATTAACTTCCTCAATGTCACAGACATGTATTATGTGATTCAATCCATATTCAAACCCAGGAGTGCCTAAATCCAAAATCACACACTATCATTTAGGAGACAGAAATAAGTACTCAGGATTTTTGTAACTGTAAAATAATTTCCTTAGAAAATTTTAGAAGATCACTAAGAGTCCAAATCAAATACAGAAGGTGTTTTTCACAGACACTAACTGATAAAGTTCAGATTTAAGGAGCTTAGCTAAAAGCAACACAAGTTTTCTAAGTTAACAAACAAGAAACTTTGCAAAATACCCTCCACTGGATACTGTTGGAAAGTGATTTTCCAGTTTCCCTCCTCAAGAAGTTTTAGCTTGACACTGAATTATTTGACCCCAAATCCTTCCCTTTTCCAACTCATTATTAGAAACACATTGTAAAGATGGAAAAACTAAACAGATGGGATCAAAGCATCATGGTCTATAGCCTCTATTTACAAACACTTCAACATTTTTTGACAAGAAAAAAACAATTAGACATAAGAGAGATTCACCTGCAAACAGAGAGTGAGAGCTACAACAATTAAATTGAAATGGGATGCCCTTTCTTCAAGAGTAGTACACTTCATCTGTCCACACAGTTCCTTCTCTGGCTACCAGATCTCTCACATCTCATCCTTACCTCCAGTCATCCTTTGAGAGGTTGATCAAGATATTCATCTCCTCATCCTCTTGCAGAAGGCGATAGGCTGCACTCAAATGGTGATTTTCCAATACAGATCTGTCGTTGTATAGAATCGCTGGATCAGACCTGCACAGAGCCACACAGGACTGTTCAGGACATTCCCCCAGAATCCCTGCAGGGAATGCCCACAGGATGGAGTACACATGCACTTCTTCCTAGGTTTAGGAACCATCTCCACCCTCATGCTATCTGCATAAATCAGAACCTCAAAGGAGCACTATAAATTATCAACAGATGCATGTAGGCTCCCTCAATATCAATATCTGGGTTTGAATTCTGTGTCATCCAGCTCAGGAATTCTCTGGAAGCTATATAACCAGATCCCAATGACCTGAAGTAGTGGCAAAGGTAGTTTTTTAAAATGTAGATTATGTCAAACTTTCTTATATTTTCTGGAATAACTTTTAAGTTAAAATTTTTACTTAATTCAATAAATGTACCAACTTATTTATTTTAGCTGTGAGGCTCTGAACACATATCCCCTACTGGGTATGGTCTGCAAGTTGCCTCTTCATCTTAAAAATTTTTTCATGCAAAAGCCACATGTTGATAATTGAGAGTAGAGAATAGAGCTGGGCATGGTGACCCAAGCCTGTAATCCCAGTGACCCTGGAGTTTGCAGGAGAATTGCAAATTCAAGTCTAGCCTCGGGAACCTAGTGGGGCCCTAAGCAACTTAAAATAAAATAAAAAGTAGGACAATACACAGTTTAGTGGCAAAGTGTCCCTAGGTTCAATCTCCAATAGGAAGGAAGGAAGGAAGGAAGGAAGGAAGGAAGGAAGGAAGGAAGGAAGGAAGGAAGGAAGGAAGGAAGGAAGGAAGGAAGGAGAAAGGAAAAACCAAAATTATATGACAGCTGTCACTTTCTCTAAGACCATTTTTTAACTGAATGTCACCAAACAGAGCTGTATATTATTTTAATTGAATTTATTTATTTTAATTGAATGAAGGCTTGGATTTTTAAAGCTCACTCATTTCTCAACAAGGAAGCTGAGCGCAGAGATGTAAAGTGGCTTCTGAGGGTCCCATGGTGGCTGAGTGTCAGGGCTGGGATGGAGGTGAGAACTTCTGACAGAAGGGCCAATACTCCCAAGATAGCTTTCACCTGCCACTGGTCAAACTTTGGGATGTCGCTAACATACCTCAGAAGTGTTAGGCTTAACATGTTGTCCATCGAGGGACAAACTAAGTCACAGACTTAGTTTTCTGCAGAAGGATCACACTGATTCAGACACACTGAATAAAGCTCTGTCCAAGAAGACCAGTGTTCGAATTTCATTTTAAATGGAGCCTAATGGGACCCACTGGAATTTTCCAAAGGAGATAATACAAAACACACAAATGCCTTGGTGAAAGATGACCTCTTAGATCTGCTGAGTAAGTTAAGTACCAATGGGTGTGTATTTCGTGGCAGGAAGCTACTTTTCACCTCCTGTAATGAAGCTGCTTTCTTGAGTTGTGATCGTTAGTTCTGGTCTCCAGGCAAAATCCACGGTCACTCCAACCACCTCCCCAGCTTCCTGCAGCAGGTGCTCTTCACTGCAGTCTCTGTCCTTAGAGCAAAGATTCCACCCACAGACCCACATTGAGCAGAGCTGCTCTGTGGAGTTCCCTCCATCTAAGTACCTTAGAAAAGAACTACAAAGGGCTGCCTCCCCGTGGCTGAGATCACCATGCAGGAAGGCAGGAGCAGGAACTAAAGCAAAGAGCTTCCGCCCTCCTGTCTACTCCCTCTGTGCTGGAATGCCCCTCCTAACAGACCAGATGATGTTGTCATTTGTATGTGCACCTCACAATCTAGCATTGAGTTCATTAAATACATATGGATTGATTCAATGAACACAAACCTATCTGGAGTACACACCTGCTTTTTCAAGTGAAATCAGCAAGTATTTATTTAGTATTCAACTATCCAACCCCTGCCCCCATGATTTTTCTCTTTGTCTTACCACCTTTCCCCAAATCCAAGCTTTCTTTGGCTCTTATACCAAAGCCCAATTAACCCTACTGTCAGATTCTGTTCAATTCCACATCACAGTGTCCTGAGAAAAGGCAAGGTTTTAGGTTTACACAGAGGAGGAAAGGACTGGATAGATCCACAGCTTGGGAAGAAAGCATATCAAAATCAAAATCCTTCATCCTGAAATCAATCATTGATGTCTGTTAAAGATCAGGAGGTTCAGAATGGGCCACTTGGACCTGCAGGTACTATTCTCAGTGGAGGTTCGTGTTTACCTGAGCTGTTCATCAAGAAGGATGCACAGGTTGCTCATGGTGAAGGTGGCCGGCATGAGACAACCCAGCTTCCCAAGTCCTGTGCCAAACTACAGTGCAGGCACTGAACAGAAATTAAATCAGAGAAAATGAGAAGAGCAATTCACCAGAACCCCAGAGATCAGAGGTCAAGAAGGCTCAATTACTGTTGATGTCAATAGAAATAGTCCAATCATCACCTGTCCCTGATTTAGTCTGCATGGCTTCTGGGCCTCTGTGCTACTACCCTACCACTTATCAGAAATAGGTAGAGCAGGCCTAGGACATTTTAAATAAAGAACAATTAAAATAGAGAATGTTTGCTTGCTAGATCTGAATCAAATACAAGAATTAAGAGCAGATGGCTTCTTACACCCTAGGTCTTGATTGACGCTGACCAGGCCAATTTTTTGTGTATATGTTCATTTTTTTCAGAAACTCAAAACAGAGTAACCATGTAAAAGACAGGTGACAAATACCTCTCTGACTTCTAAAACTCTACCCCTGCCCGATCCCGCCTCTTCTCCAACATGTCAGCATCCTCACCGAGTCTGGATATGGAAATTGTTGGTAGTTCCGGTGTGTTCATAGTCGTGGATGGCAGCTGAGAAGATTATAGCAAAGATCTCCAGCTCCGTCAGCCAGTTCTGAAAGGGAGATTACAGAGCAATCAGATAATCTGTCTCATTCTCAGAGAAAGTCTTCAGCGTGCTGACGACAGACCACACGGCCGCCTTCCCACCCACAGCTGTAAGCTCCTGCCAAGCTTTCTGACATGCAGAAGTGAGGGTGTTTTGTTCCCCCCTGTGAAGAGACTGCAGGACTTGTGACTTAAAAAGAGCAGTCACAGTTTTGAAAGAACTGGTACTTTTCTCTTTTTTTCAAGAAAGCTGAAAAACAGTGAACACAAAATCTTTAAAAGCCCTCATCATTGCATTCTCCAACAATTTCCAAATAATGTAACTAGGTTTCTTTCTCTATCTTACAAACACACACACACACACACACACACACACACACACACACACACACACAGTTCAAACAGAACATCAAGAACTAAGAGGAACAGAAAACCTCGTCTCTGATCACTGGGTGAATATCCACCATAAGGTGGGTAAAGACAAATAGAGAAATAACACGTGACTTTCTGCCCTGTGAATACTATCACCATCCACACTGTCCAGGTTGGTGTAATTCAATGGTTTGCCAAATGTGTTCCTTGGACCAGCAGCAGCATCACCTGAAGCTTGCTAGAAATGCAAGCAAATTCTTTGGCTCCACCCAACCTCATGGGTCCAGAAACCCTAAATTGTGGTCCAGTCATCTGTGTTACTAAACCATCCAGATAATTCTGATACACACCAAAGTATGAGAACCACTGCTTGTGGAAGTTCCTTAACTGATTTCCATCTTGTGGTCTCTGTGTGTTCAGGGATGGTTGCCATCCTCTCTGCCCAACGCCCACACAGCAGAACCTTCATGACTCACAGGCACTCCCCTTTGGGACCCTCTGCTCACTTTCATTGCTGGTTGAATTGATGCTCACAGAATTCAGTATGGTTATTCCTAGTCCCACTCTGACACTTTGAACTCATTATTACAATTATGTAATTAAATGTGACATAAACCAAGAGGATATGAACACAAAACAATTAAGTTGTTATTTCTACGCAAATTCAATGCTTTGGAAAGTTGCTAAAAGAACTGCTTTCAAAATACATGACAACTGTGAAACCATAGAAAACAAGTATAAAAATTTAAGGAGACTGTACATTCAGTTTGTTTCATGAGTCTCTTTAATTCCCATTTCACTTGAAGGACATGAAGCTAGAAATCTTAGATATGGGCAGGATTGCTCTCAGATGACAACAGACACTGCAATTAGCAGAACTCAGAAAAGAGCTTACAGTCTAAATTAAAGATAAGTGCATAAACTATATTTATGATTAAAGGTCATACAAAATGACTTAAAATGAATTCATGTTTTGTGATATCCTATTTTAACTATTTCTTTTATTTAACAATTGATTTTCTTCTTTGTCTAGGAAAATTCCTGAGATTCACTGTCTTCTTTGAGGATGGGTAAGTGAAAAATAAATAAACAAATGGCATATAACCTATAAAAAAATACTTCAGAATAAGATGAAGAATAAGCAAAAAGATAACTCAAAGGAAAAAACTACACTTTTTTGGAGAGGATGTGGGAAAAGGTACACTCATACACTGTTGGTAGGACTGCAAATTGGTGCAGCCAATATGGAAAGCAGTATGGAAATTTCTTGGAAAATTGGGAATGGAAGCACCATTTGACCCAGATATAGACCTCTCCTGGGTCTATACCCAAAGGACTTAAAAATAGCATACTACAGGGACACATCAATGTTTATAGCAGCACAATTCACAACAGCTAAACTGTAGAACCAACCTAGATGCCCTTAATACATGAATGGATAAAAAAATGTGGCATATGTACACAATGGAATATTACTCAGCAATAAAAGAGAATAAAATCATGGTATTCACAGGTAAATGGATAGAGTTGGAGAACATAATGCTAAGTGAAGTTAGCCAGTCCCAAAAAAAACAAATGGAGAATTTTTTCTCTGATATAAAGATGCTGATTCATAATGAGTATGGGGGGCAAGCATGGGAGGAATGGAGGATCTTTAGATGAACTTTAGATAGGGCAAAGGGGAGGGAGGAGTAGGGAGGGGAAATGGGGGTAGGAAAGACAGTGGAATGAGATGGACATCATGACCCTAAGTACATGTATGAAAACACAAATGGTGTGATTCTACTTTGTGTACAACCAGGGACATGAAAAATTCTGCTCTATTTATGTAATATGAATGAATTGCATTCTGCTGTCATATATAAATAAAAAATTATATTAAAAAATTACACTTTTTATAAATTATTTCTATTAAAATCTAAGCATGAAATGTCAAGAAACTTTTTGGCATCCTCCATAATGCACCTCAAAAATACACACTGAGGTCAGGTGTGGTGGCACACACCTGTAATCCCAGCAGCTCAAGAGGCCAAGGCAGGAGGATCGCAAGTTTAAAGTCAGCCTCAACAACTTAGCAAGGCCCTAAGGAACTCTGCAACACCCTGGCTCTAAATAAAATATAAAAAACAGCTGGGGATGTGGCTCAGTGGTTAAGCACCCCTGGTTGAATCCCGGGTACTACTACTACTACTACTACTACTACTACTAATAATAATAATAATAATAATAATAATACAAACTGAGGTACAAGGAGGGGAAAAGGAGACAGATAAGATGAAGAATAACAGCAAGAAAACTGAAGCTACAAAAATGTTCTGCAGGTAACAAAGAACCCTTTATCACCGCCCCATGGTACCCAGGTAGGGGATGTCCCTTGGTGTCAGACCCAATTCTAGGTGATTTTTATGTAGAAACTCATGTCACTCTCACAACATCATAAAGGGAGGTGCTGTTTAGTTGATGCTCACTTACACAAGAGAAAACTGAAACTGGTAGAGACGTAGGACCTACCCAAGGTACACCTGTGTTGGCCATGTGAAAAGCCAACATAGCATGAATCCAGAATACTCACTTATGATCTTTTAAGTTGTATTTTCTTTGGGTCATTGCTCATGTGTTCATACAATTTTTCATAAAGTTATATAGGTATGATTTTATATTGCACATTTTCTTGATCTTGTCCAGACATATCACATAGAGTTTTTTTGACTTTGGCAATCTCTTTCTTTCCTTTCCTGACATCCTATCTTGACCTATTCACCCCTGACTACCTCTACCTACTCCCTACATACATCTACTTTTCTAAACTCCTGCAAAATAATTTAACATTTTAAAGTAAGATTATGAATGGGAAACAGTGTAGCACCTAAGCAAATCTGAGTCACAGAACATCAGCCCAGTCAGCAGAAAGCCTCTAAATTAACTTTGATTACAGTTCCCGCATCACAAATACCAGTGACACTTCCTCCTTCCCCAAACATAGGAACCAAACCCTGGCTTTGGTGTAACTCACTTCTAATAAACCAAAACAGTGCATGATTAAACGAACATACAAAAAAAAAATACCTCCAAAACCATAGCCTTTAAATCTCATTTTAAAACCCAAGCTTTTCAACAATCCAAACAGATGTTTAGGGTCAATGATGGTAGTTTAGGGATATGAAGAAAGAAGAGATGGTGTCTGGGGCAGGTGAAGGGAGGGGAGAGAGAGATAACTTCACAGAGAAGAGACATTTAAGATGGGCCTTGAAGACTAGACAGAGCAAGAAGTGGAGGTGGGCATTTTCAGAAGAAACTTGTTCATCTTGAGGAAGGAGATAAGCCCTTGAATGGAGTGGGAATTAGGGCTGATTAGGGCCTGGTGAGCCTGGAATGAGTGAGGAATGGAAACTGGGTTCAACAGGCAGTGAAGTTCACAAGTAAGAGAGTGAAGTTCACCCACACCCAGCACACCACTGCAGGAGCAGGGAAAGGAGATAGGAGAGCATCATCTAGGGACTGGAAAGTTCTTATCGGATACAGGGACAGCTTGGAGGTAGGATCCAAATGAACTAGCAATTAACTGAATTCATAGTGGGGTGGAGGGGTCAGTTAGAAGTTGCAGTCAAAGAGAACAATGAATTCAATGTGATCTCAGTACTCTTATCCTGAGTAGCTAAAAACACCTTGGGTATGAGAAAAACTCTTTTGACAGAAATTGGGCTTCATATTAAAATAAAACCAATAAAAATGGAATAAAATACAGTTCACATTCCCCTTGCCTTTTCTAAATTAATATCTGAGAATGCAGATGGTTTTAGGTCAATGTATAATGAGCCAGAAATTTAAGTCCTACAGGCATTTTATACCAGATTTATTAAACTGTCGAGATATGCCATACATCCTATCAGTGTTTCCTTATTTACAAAATATGAGTGGCATGGATGATTATTGACAGGCATTTCTAGACAATTGGTAATGGTGGACTGGGATTGTGCTGTGACCCCAGGAAGGCAAGTTGTATGTGGGGTGGGGGGCGGGGTGTATAGGGGAAGACAGGGAGAGATGGATGTAACAATCCAGAGGAAACTGGGAGGAAAAAGACCTGGGTGATGTTCCATTGCTAGAGGAGAATATTATCAGTAATTTGTTGACTTTGAAATATGAATGGTGAAGTTTCTTTAGTTAACTGTTTTGCTCCAATTTTTTATTGCTACCTTAACAAATGACCACAAACTTAAGAACACTTCTCATTTATTGGCACATAATATTTCTATAAGACAGAAGACCAGAACAGCATGGTTGGTTTTCTGGTCAGGGTTTTACAAGGCTGCAATCCAGCTGTCGGCATGGTTGTCTTTCTTTCTGGGAGTGTCTGGGGCAGATATATATTCATGGCATGAGTGAAATTTATTTCCTTCTCATGGTTTGCATTTGCCTGGTTTTTCCATCTTTAAGCTAGCATTGCTTAGGCCTCTCAGATTTCTTCTACATTGTCTCTTCGACTCTCTTGTGAAATGCTCTTGGGACCACCTGGAGGATCCAGGATAATCTCCCTACTTAAGGACTTCTGATTGGTAAACTTAACTGTAAATTTCCTTCTGAATTTTTTTTTTTTTTTACCATCTTATACAACATGTTAGCAATGGGACGCCA